CTAACCTCTAACTACTTGTTTCTACATCTTCTCTAATTAAGTAAAATGACAAATATATATATATATATATAATTTAGATATTCAAGTGTTATAAAAGAACTCATGCAAAAGATGGTTTGAGCTATACTTTTATGTCTAACATTGAAATACTAAAACAAATTCCAATTGGTCATAAGAAGTTGGTTCCACTTGCTATGATTCTTACCATTAAGTTTGAAATAAATGAAATAATCACTTTCAAATATATTTATTGCTCAACTCCACATCAACTCTTATCATTGAAAAAATGCAAGCACATTAAAAAAAAAAAAAAAGCAATTTTTTATAATTGGTTAATGCACAAAGAATAGAAATGTAATGAGTTTAAGTAAACGAAATACCATATATTTTTAGTTTCGATTTGAAAGTCAATCACTTGTAGTAGTTATTGCAAGCACGATTATTATTTTTTACTCTATCTCGCATGCTAAATATAGCTTGGGAAGTAACAATAGTTGCTAGTACACAACTAGAAAATCACAAGCAATTTTTGTAAGGATAGAGAATTTATCACCATTGGTTTTTTACCATTGTAAAATATAGAACTTGTTTGTTCTAAGACACTAGCTCCTTCAAGTATTGTTTAGTTCTCACATCTTTGAAGCATAGAGATTAAAAGATCGAACTTATGCATCCGATCGATCAATGCCACTTGGTCAATCATCTTTGAAAGTCATCAAAGTATTATTGGTATTTGACATATCTTCTAAAGATTGTAATGAAGAAGAATACTCTTGTATTTGGTAAAAAGATCGAAAATAGCATGACAAATTCTATGGACATATTTGTAAGCATCAAAACTATGATTTTTCTCGAATAATATTCCACTAAATCTAATTTAAATCTTGGATCAAGAACCATAACAATAGCCAATACAAAGCTACAAGAAAAATGGACTTTATTCATTAGATAGAGAAGATCACCAAGATTTCATGATCCGCGGCCGAACTTATTCCAATTCCAAGATCTCGGATCGAATCGGTATATCAATAGCGATTCGATCCGAGGTCTCTTATTGAATTGCTCATTCAATGAGCATTCTCAATATTATGCCTTGAAGAGGACTCGAACCTCCACGCTCTTTAGCACGAGATTTTGAGTCTCGCGTGTCTACCATTTGACCACCAAGGCATCTTGAAAGTGAATCATATTTCATGAATATGATATCTATTTAGTGTGATATATGGAAAATATGACATTCTTGCCAATACATTATCCTCATTCCGTTCCGGATTGTAATCTCTAATAAAAAAATATAGCTCCATGAGCAAAAGCTTCGTCATGATGAATCCTGCGATGTATTGGTGATTCACATATACTGCGACTTGAGTAGTAAAGTCTTGTGCTATGAACGCATAAGCGGGATTAATCTGCATTTTATATGTTTTGAATTTATTTACTTACTTTTGAAGGGCATTTAAATATTTATTTTTAAAATTATAGTGGTAAAAAAAATAGTGCATTCTATTCAATATCTTTATGGTAAAGAGAGATAAAAAATGCTTTAAAAAAATTCATTTATTACCTTTATTAACAATAAATAATAATGAAAGGCATTCTTTTTTTTTTTTTTTTTTTGGAAGAAAACATATCAAATTGATGGCACTGTGAGAAGGTTCAATTGTCCAAAATGAATTTCTAGATTGTGAATTTATCAACATCAAGTTCTTATCTTTTCTTAATTTCTTAAAAAGAAGAAAATTTTTGTTGAAAATTCTGTATGATAAAAAAAAATTATGAAAAAGACTTTTGTTTTGCTTTTGTTAGCATCCAATAAGATGGGACCATTCTTTATTTGATTTCTCATTCATTATGACACACCCCATGATCATTTTCAATGTCTGTTCGAATCTCATTAACAAACAAAGAAAATACATATGTTAGACATTTCTTTTTTTTAACTAACTTCATTTCAGAGATTTTGTCTTTGGCTTTAATGGATAATTCGAAAGTTCAAGATCTAATAAATAAAATAAAATAAAAGACTCTTTAAATTAACGAGTTTTTAACTCTTGAATGTTTAACCGACTAATTAATTATTTATAACGTACTCCATTTTCTTTGCCAAATAAGATAGTAGTCGTTCGCGTTTTCCTCGAATTTTATGTAAACCTCTTTGAGATAAATAGTCTTTTGGAAAATCATTTCTATGTTGATTACTTCTTTTAGTTTATTTATTATGTTATTTATTTGTATCGAATCCATTTTCTTTAATTTTAACTTATTAGATTTCTTAGTAGATTTATTCACATAATATCTCGAATAAGAAGAAAAAAAATATCGCACCGTTGGATCACTCGAAAAAAATCAAATCTTTATTTTGTTTTTGTTTTGGTCCAATTAGTTTCTAAGATTAGGAATTTCTATTATTCTTTTCTAGGTTTTACATTTTTTCTTTCCATATAAAAAAAAACCTCTTTGTAGTTTAATTAAGTATCAAGAAAAACCTTTTGCATCGAATACAAGAACAAGAATATAGACATTCCAAATATTGATTATCTTGCCAATTGATTCCGAGTAGCTTTATCAAGATCCAAAGCGAATTGCGCAAAGGCTTCTAATTCTACGAATTGCGCCAATTCTAATTTTAATTTACCAGCTACTGACTTGTCTTTACATTCTATTCATTGATAGAACAAAAAATGACAAATTCTTTCATTCTTTTTTGTTCTTTTTGGTCCTTCATTGATTTAGCCATTAAATGAATAAATTCAAGTTTACTATTTTCTCATTCACTCAAACGTAGTTGAACATCACATATGTTCGAAAAGAAAATATTTGCAGTTCGAGAATTAGTTCCTAAAAGATTGATTATGCTTGTAGCTCTTATCCATATTCTTCAATGGAGAAAAAGCTTCTCATCTTCCTAATGCATTTCAAGATTAAAACATGTAGAGTTCCACCTAGTTGTACAATCAAAACTTACTTTATTTCAACCACCTAGCTTGAGTTGTTTTATTTCAATAGAAAATTTTTGAGCCCTATATTCAAATACTTTACACTTTCTCAAATCGTCACAATTAAATTACCAAAAATTTTCAACCCACCCCGCACAATTATATTAAAAATATGTCTACCACAATGAACATGAAAAAAATCTTTGTGAGTACAATAACGACTTATCACAAAGCCAACCTTTCGTACTTCTCACCGTTGAATCATTATTTGATGCATTATCAACCATCATTGCGCATAACTTCTTATCAATATTCTATTCTAAAAATAATTCTTTGATAAATCTAAATAGAGTTTATGGATCATGGGAATACTCTATATATTTAAATGTAAGGATTCATTTGTGTAATTGCCAATTATCATCAATAAATTGAGCAATCAAGTAAAAATAACTAAAATTTTTATGTTCTATTATCCCAAGTCATTTGTAATAATCACCTTAGAACAAAGTTGCTCAAGATAATTGTACAATTTTCGCTTCTCCACTCAATAAACTTCTAATACATTAGTCTTAATAGTATTTCTTGACATAAGTTTGAACGCTCGTTTGATAAGAAACTTAGTTATGGTTTTTTGAAAACACAATGTTCTTTTTTTGTGGAAATTTATGTATTATTTAGAATAAAGAATAAATAAACTCTAAATTTCAACATAATCTCATATTTATATATTTTCTTTTAAAAAAAATTAAAAATAATTCTATTTATTAAAAACAATAATATTTTTTAATTTTAGATCGAATTATTATCAAATCGAATCAAAAGTAAATTCATATTTGATCTATTTAATAAATAGGTTAACGATTCAAATAATAATCGAGCTCGGATAAAAAAAATTATTTACTAAATTCTTTTACTTACATCAAATCGGAATAAAGTTAACATTTTATCCATTTACAGCCCTACTTCGCTGTATTTACTAAATCCATATCTAATCCATTAATGGAGTTTTATTTTGCTAGAGTTTAGAGAAGTCGATCTTCATCAAGGCGAGAACTTCTTGAGACAAGATGTTCATGGTACTATCATCGTCAATGAGAACTCAATAAGCTTTGTAGTTGGAGAGGATTGCGACGATGACAAGAATGTCATCGTGGGAGAAATCACCCCACTCGTCTCCTCAGGGATGAACGTGTTGGGCTCGCGCTAGAGGGTTAAGGCTTGTAAAGTGGTGAGAACTTAGTTCCCATATGTCTTCCCCTCTTTATCAAACTTGCTTCTAGTTGACTGAACTTTGAGGATAACGTTGATCTTGGCGAGGTCGTTCTAGTGATTTGTTGGTCCTACCTCTTCGTGTCATGACTATTCTCTTTATAGAAAGAGAATATTGTTTTTCTAACCATAAAATTATAGAGGATCTTTCATCGGAGGAGGGTGATTCACATATCTATTTCTTTGTATGGTACCATAAAGCTCCATCTGGATAGTATTCAGAAGAGTAGTTTGGAGTTGGGAAAAGAGGACTATAGACAAGCTAAGGCTTGTTCGGATAAGTTTGCTGAAGCGGTGACAGCTTCTTCAATCCAAATGTGATTTTCTACCATCCTTTTCACCCAAAATAGATTTGTATCAGAGAAAGCATAAAGTTTTCTTTATAAACCTACATCATAAATCCCTCCGATAAGAACTTTTGTGGCCACGGGTTCTAACCGTTCATCGACTTCTAGCATTTCTTTGTAGAAAAATAACAATTGACTAATATATTTTCTTACATAAACCCATAAAAAAATGTTGATCCTTCCTAGTATGGAAAATGCAGAAATAGCTAGCTTGGCTGTGCTCAAGGAGATAAAAAAGAAAAAAATAGCTTGGCTGCAATTCTATTTTCCTTCTAATAAACGAGAGGTTGCTGTGTACGTACGTACACAAACCGCAATTAAAATAGAAGAAATTATGCGAAGAGCTCTCTTAATCCCAAGTATTTTAAGGCTCTTTTATTGGTGGCCTTATAAATTGCAATTGCAATATTCTTCTTCCATGAGAAATTTACCCAGACAAAAAAAAAAGATGGGTTGCATTGCAGCTATTCAACTTTTCATTACAGCAATTCTTCTTGTGTCCACCACCACCGTTAGTTCTGCTGATACAAGTCCGATACCAGCCGATGCATCGAGCCTGAACACATGGTTTCAAAACAATGTCAAGCCCCTGGCAGACCGTAAGGGCACCATAGACCCTGCCCTGGAAGCTGCCGAAGCTAAACCAAGAACCATTAAAGTTAGAAAAGATGGAAGTGGAGACTTCAAAACCTTAAAGGATGCCATTAACAGTATTCCAACAGGGAATAAAGAACGTGTAATTGTGGACATTGGACCAGGAGAGTACGTTGAAAAACTCAAGATTGAGCGTGAGAAGCCTTTTGTTACATTCTTGGGATCACCTAGCAACATGCCAACCTTGTCATTTGGTGGTACGGCCAGAGAATATGGAACTGTTTATAGTGCTACCTTGGAAGCTGAGGCTGATTACTTTGTCGCTGCTAATATCATTATTAAGGTGTGTGTATATCCTGAAACATTATTCATTTCGAATCAAGTTCAGGTCAATTCTCCCATGTGAAAATTTAAATGTTGTACTGCTTCTTCTTTTTTTCCTTGAGGTTAATGCTTTTGATATCTTCATTGTTATTTGTTTTTTTCCTATGGAACTGTGGGAACAGAATTCTGCGCCAAAGCCGAACGGGAAATTGAAAGGAGAACAGGCGGTTGCTCTGAGGATTGCTGGGGACAAGTCTGCTTTCTACAACTGCAGATTACTTGGATTTCAAGACACATTGTGTGATGACAAGGGACGGCATCTCTTCAAGGATTGTTACATTGAAGGCACTGTTGATTTCATTTTTGGAAGCGGAAAGTCCTTGTATTTGGTAACTTCGATCCAAGAATTAATTTCTCTTTAATAATTTCTTCTATTGTATTTGGCGTACATTTGGTGCATGGAGTAATTTTTTTGAAAATTCAATGGAATGCAGGGAACCGAGATGCATGTGATTCCTGATGAAGGAGGGACGTTTATCACTGCACAAGCAAGGAACAGTGAATCAGAAGATACCGGATTTTCTTTCGTGCATTGTAAAATAGATGGAACTGGCAGTGGGACGCATTTGGGACGAGCATGGATGTCAAGGCCACGGGTAGTGTTTGCTTACACTACCATGGGTAGTGTTGTTAATCCTGAGGGATGGTCCAATAATTTCCACCCTGAACGAGATCAGTATGTCCTTAATCCATCTTTTCTATTTCTTAATAATTATAATTAAAAAAAAAAAAAAGATTTCATAAATGGGTTTTACATTGTTTAACGAAAGAAGATAATTAATATTGACTCAAAAAATGATTTCATAATTGTTTCTTTCTTCATAATAATGTTTATCATGCATGTGCCATTGCTCGCAGGACGGTTTTATTTGGAGAATACAAGTGCGAGGGGCCAGGAGCTGACCCCAAGGGCCGTGCTAGATCTGGCAGGCAGCTAACCCCTGACCAAGTAGCACCCTTCATTTCTCTTGGCTTTATTGAAGGTTCCAAATGGCTGCTTCCTCCTCCAAATTAATTAAGTTGCAGAGAAACCAACCAAATGAAGGATTAGTTTTTATTTTTATTTATTTTTTTTAAATGTCACGACTAAGATTAAATTAACAATCAACGAGTCGTCGCATAAATTAGCTAAAATAAATAAAATAAAGGCATTGTATAACTTAATAACCACAAAAAAAATACGATCTCTTGCAATAAATATCCAAGTCCTCTGAAATGCTTCTCTTCTTTTGCAATAATCTTTTCTTTGGCAATATATATATATATATATGCAACCAACCTGAAAGTAATAAAAAATCATATGATGTTAAACTTCAGTATTACATTGATTTTGCCACAAGAAAATATTGTACGGCTGAGAATAACATTTTCACAAAAATAAATTAACGCTGCTGCTAAACTATGAACAGAAGAATAAAACTTGAATATTGTTTTTTTTTTTTTTTATAAAACCCATAAAAAGATGGTGCTCCTTCCTAGTATAGCCAAGGCAAAAATAGCTAGCTTGGCTATAAGACTATGAACCAGTAGGATTCAGATCGGATTATAATATATTTGAATTCGATTTATTTTTTGGAAATTATGATTTGGGATCCGAGGGGATGGAAAGCTTTATCGTATTTTTTTCCTTGATTTTTGTAGAAAATTTATTCTTACCATATTTAATATATTGCTTCAATATAAATATGTTTCAACCACTATATATGTATAAGAAGTTATATTAGGATAATATTTCATTAATCAATTTTGTAAAAAATTTAAAATACCGCAAAATTTAGAATCAAAAAATCAACTAATCGTAATAAAAACATTTCTCGAACTAGGTAGAAAGTACGATAAAAAAAAATAAAAAATAATTTTTATTTTTTTGCTCACGTGTAGCAAAATAAATATTTGTTGATTTGAATTCCAAGATAATAGTGCTACAAATTAAGGCTTACAAGCAAAGAAAAAAATATTAATTATTATTTTCATCTATTTGTAACAAGTTATTTCACAAAAATTATAAACACATGTTACTCTACCAATATTAATAATGTCACATAACTAAATAAGTACTAATATCGCATTTTCTTAATGTTTAAAAAAAAAATCCAAACCTCGTCGATTCCTTAATAATATAAGTTTTTTAGTATCTCAATACTAACCTCTAACTACTTGTTTCTACATCTTCTCTAATTAAGTAAAATGACAAATATATATATATATATATATAATTTAGATATTCAAGTGTTATAAAAGAACTCATGCAAAAGATGGTTTGAGCTATACTTTTATGTCTAACATTGAAATACTAAAACAAATTCCAATTGGTCATAAGAAGTTGGTTCCACTTGCTATGATTCTTACCATTAAGTTTGAAATAAATGAAATAATCACTTTCAAATATATTTATTGCTCAACTCCACATCAACTCTTATCATTGAAAAAATGCAAGCACATTAAAAAAAAAAAAAAGCAATTTTTTATAATTGGTTAATGCACAAAGAATAGAAATGTAATGAGTTTAAGTAAACGAAATACCATATATTTTTAGTTTCGATTTGAAAGTCAATCACTTGTAGTAGTTATTGCAAGCACGATTATTATTTTTTACTCTATCTCGCATGCTAAATATAGCTTGGGAAGTAACAATAGTTGCTAGTACACAACTAGAAAATCACAAGCAATTTTTGTAAGGATAGAGAATTTATCACCATTGGTTTTTTACCATTGCAAAATATAGAACTTGTTTGTTCTAAGACACTAGCTCCTTCAAGTATTGTTTAGTTCTCACATCTTTGAAGCATAGAGATTAAAAGATCGAACTTATGCATCCGATCGATCAATGCCACTTGGTCAATCATCTTTGAAAGTCATCAAAGTATTATTGGTATTTGACATATCTTCTAAAGATTGTAATGAAGAAGAATACTCTTGTATTTGGTAAAAAGATCGAAAATAGCATGACAAATTCTATGGACATATTTGTAAGCATCAAAACTATGATTTTTCTCGAATAATATTCCACTAAATCTAATTTAAATCTTGGATCAAGAACCATAACAATAGCCAATACAAAGCTACAAGAAAAATGGACTTTATTCATTAGATAGAGAAGATCACCAAGATTTCATGATCCGCGGCCGAACTTATTCCAATTCCAAGATCTCGGATCGAATCGGTATATCAATAGCGATTCGATCCGAGATCTCTTATTGAATTGCTCATTCAATGAGCATTCTCAATATTATGCCTTGAAGAGGACTCGAACCTCCACGCTCTTTAGCACGAGATTTTGAGTCTCGCGTGTCTACCATTTGACCACCAAGGCATCTTGAAAGTGAATCATATTTCATGAATATGATATCTATTTAGTGTGATATATGGAAAATATGACATTCTTGCCAATACATTATCCTCATTCCGTTCGGATTGTAATCTCTAATAAAAAAATATAGCTCCATGAGCAAAAGCTTCGTCATGATGAATCCTGCGATGTATTGGTGATTCACATATACTGCGACTTGAGTAGTAAAGTCTTGTGCTATGAACGCATAAGCAGGATTAACTGCATTTTATATGTTTTGAATTTATTTACTTACTTTTGAAGGGCATTTAAATATTTATTTTTAAAATTATAGTGGTAAAAAAAATAGTGCATTCTATTCAATATCTTTATGGTAAAGAGAGATAAAAAATGCTTTAAAAAAATTCGTTTATTACCTTTATTAACAATAAATAATAATGAAAGGCATTCTTTTTTTTTTTTTTTTTGGAAGAAAACATATCAAATTGATGGCACTTGTGAGAAGGTTTTTATTGAAAATTTTGTATAATAAAAAAAAATTATGAAAAAGACTTTTGTTTTGCTTTTATTAGCATCCAATAAGATGGGACCATTCTTTATTTGATTTCTCATTCATTATGACACACCCCATGATCATTTTCAATGTCTGTTCGAATCTCATTAACAAACAAAGAAAATACATATGTTAGACATTTCTTTTTTTAACTAACTTCATTTCAGAGATTTTGTCTTTGGCTTTAATGAATAATTCGAAAGTTCAAGATCTAATAAATAAAATAAAATAAAAAGACTCTTTAAATTAACGAGTTTTTAACTCTTGAATGTTTAACCGACTAATTAATTATTTATAACGTACTCCATTTTCTTTGCCAAATAAGACAGTAGTCGTTCGCGTTTTCCTCGAATTTTATGTAAACCTCTTTGAGATAAATAGTCTTTTGGAAAATCATTTCTATGTTGATTACTTCTTGTAGTTTATTTATTTATTATTTATTTATTTGTATCGAATCCATTTTCTTTAATTTTAACTTATTAGATTTCTTAGTAGATTTATTCACATAATATCTCGAATAAGAAGAGAAAAAAATATCACACCGTTGGATCACTCGAAAAAAATCAAATCTTTATTTTGTTTTTGTTTTGGTCCAATTAGTTTCTAAGATTAGGAATTTCTATTATTCTTTTCTAGGTTTTACATTTTTTCTTTCCATATAAAAAAAAACCTCTTTGTAGTTTAATTAAGTATCAAGAAAAACCTTTTGCATCGAATACAACAACAAGAATACGGACATTCCAAATATTGATTATCTTGCCAATTGATTCGAGTAGCTTTATCAAGATTCGAAGCGAATTGCCCAAAGGCTTCTAGTTCTGCGAATTGCGCCAGTTCCAATTTTAATTTACCAGCTACTTGACTTGTCTTTACATTCTATTCATTGATAGAACAAAAAATGAAAAATTCTTTCATTCTTTTTTGTTCTTTTTGGTCCTTCATTGATTTAGCCATTAAATGAATAATTCAAGTTTACTATTTTCTCATTCACTCAAACGTAGTTGAACATCACATATGTTTGGAAAGAAAATATTTGCGGTTCGAGAATTAATTCCTAAAAGATTGATTGTGCTTGTAGCTCTTATCCATATTCTTCAATGGAGAAAAAGCTTCTCATCTTCCTAATGCATTTCAAGATTAAAACATGTAGAGTTCCACCTAGTTGTACAATCAAAACTTACTTTATTTCAACCACCTAGCTTGAGTTGTTTTATTTCAATAGAAAATTTTTGAGCCCTAAATTCAAATACTTTACACTTTCTCAAATCATCACAATTAAATTACCAAAAATTTTCAACCCACCCCGCACAATTAGATTAAAAATATGTTTACCATAATGAACATGAAAAAAATCTTTGTAAGTACGATAACGACTTATCACAAAGCCAACCTTTCGTACTTCTCACCGTTGAATCATTATTTGATGCATTATCAACCATCATTGCGCATAACTTCTTATCAATATTCTATTCTAAAAATAATTCTTTGATAAATCTAAATAGAGTTTATGGATCATGGGAATACTCTATATATTTAAATGTAAGGATTCATTTGTGTAATTGCCAATTATCATCAATAAATTGAGCAATCAAGTAAAAATAACTAAAATTTTTATGTTCTATTATCCCAAGTCATTTGTAATAATCACCTTAGAACAAAGTTGCTCGAGATAATTGTATAATTTTTGTTTCTCCACTCAATAAACTTCTAATACATTAGTCTTAATAGTATTTCTTGACATAAGTTTGAACGCTGGTTGAAGACTTTTAAAGAACATCTAAAAATAATCATCTACCTAAATTATTTCTCAAATGAATAGTTTCTTTAGTATTTCGGCCTATAATTTTTTTCTTTTACTGTTTACACTTAGCAATATCATTTTTATTTGGTCCTATGAACTTTTCAAAATCTTGCCATACTTTTAAGGTCAATTGTCTTTTTTAATCGAACTCGAGTCTCAAGGACCATAATAATACTCCTCTAAATCTAATTTAAATCTTGGATCAAGAACCATAACAATAGCCAATACAAAGCTACATTTATATCAATATTTGATAACCTTTTCTTTCATTGATTTAGCCATTAAATGAATAAATTCATACTTACTATTTTCTCATTCACTCAAACATAGTTTAACATCACATATGTTCGAAAGAAAAATATTTACAATTGG